CCAACAGGCCCCTGGGGCTGCTGTCGCTTACGGCAGGAAACCGGCTGGTCCCTGCAGCAGCTTCACGTCTCGCTGCTCACCCGGCCAAGCTGCCTTGCTCAATATCCAGAGAGCCCTGGCAGCCTGCCCCCAAGGGCCACAGACCCTACCCCCAGCACGCAGCCCGGGGGAGGCGGGCGCGGAGGCGGGGCTGTTCCCAGAGCTGCCTTTGTTGCTATGAAATTGTCACCCAGACAGAGTGGGCGAATTGTCAACCCGGATCGCCTGAGTCAGCGGGAGCCGCGGAGCAGCCAGGGCTGCCTGAGCCGGCGCGGGCTCCGCGCTGGGGGTGGGGGGCCACAGACCCTACCCCCAGCACGCAGCCCGGGGGAGGCGGGCGCGGAGGCGGGGCTGTTCCCAGAGCTGCCTTTGTTGCTATGAAATTGTCACCCAGACAGAGTGGGCGAATTGTCAACCCGGATCGCCTGAGTCAGCGGGAGCCGCGGAGCAGCCAGGGCTGCCTGAGCCGGCGCGGGCTCCGCGCTGGGGGTGGGGCACATCCCCCCGCCCTGCAGAACGCCCCCGGCAGCCACGTGCCGGGAGCTCTTTGCAGGAGGGAGCAAACCGGGCCCGTGGGTACCCGGGGCGCACCCACCCCGGCCCCGCCCGCCTCTCCCGCCCCCTGGCCCCAGGCCCTACCTCTTGGTTCAGTCTCCTGACGTTCTGCTTGATCTCATCCGCTTCCGTGCCTAAGGCTGGGCTGGCCTGGTCAGTCCCTGCAAAGAACCCAGACCCGGCTCAGGGACTGTCGACCCCGACCCACAGGGACTCGGGGGCCCTGGCAGGACAACGGGCCGGGGGCAAAGCCTGAGTGAACCCCACATCGTCGCGGGACCAGCTGCCCCCTTTGGACGTAGCCCCTCCCTCGCCGGGCCTCATCCTGGGCCCATGCCCGGAACACTCAGACACGGGGGCTTCCAGCTGGGGGAGAGGGTGTCAGCTGCTCCCTCCACTGCTGCGCAGCCTCCTCCCGGGGCCGCTCAGGCCAGGCTGGCAGGTGGTGGAGCTGAACGAGCCGCTGCTCATCCCGACGGGCACCATAACCCCAAAGCGCCGG